AGACTTATCAAAAAGAACAGAGAAAGGACCCAAATAAATAAAATCACAAATGAGAGGAGAAATAACAACCAATATCACAGAAATACAAATAATTATAAGAGAATTTTATGAAAAACTATTTGCCAACAAATTGGACAACCTAGAAGAAATGGATAAATTCCTAGAAACATAATACCTACCAAAGCTGAAACAGAAAGAAATAGAAAACTCAAAAAAAAAAAAAAAAAGAAAAGAAATAGAAAACTCGAACAGACTGATAACCAGCAAAGAAATGGAATCAATAATCAAAAAATTCCCAAAAAACAAAAGTCCAGGGCCAGATAGCTTTACAGGTGAATTCCACCAAACATTTAAAGAAGAGTTAATACCTATTCTTCTCAAACTATTCCAAAAAATAGAAAAGGAAGGAAAACTTCCAAATTTATTTTATGAAGCCAGCATTATCCTGATACCAAAACCAGATAAAGACTCCACTAGAACTACAAGCCTATATTCCTGATGAACATGGGTGCAAAAATTCTCAATAAAATACTAGCAAACTGAATCCAAAAATACATTAAAAAAATCATTCACCATGATCAAGTGGGATTTATTCCTGGCATGCAAGTGTTCAATATTCACAAATCAATCAGTGTGATACATCATATCAGTTAAAGGAAGGATAAGAACTGTATGATCATTTCAATAGATGTAGAAAAAACATTTGATAAAGTACAACATTCATTCATGATAAAAACACTCACTCAACAAAGTAGGTTTAGAGGAAACTTATCTCAACATAATAAAGGCCATATATGAAAAACCCACAGGTAACATCATCCTCATTGGGGAAAAACTTAGAGCTTTTCCTCTATGGTTAGAAACAAGACGGGGGTGTCTAATCTCAACAGTTATTTAACATAGTACTGGAAGTTCTAGTCACAGCAATCAGACAACACAAAGAAATAAAAGGCATCCAAATCAGCAAGGGAGAAGTAAGACTTTCACTTTTTGCAGATGACATGATACTCTATATAGAGAACCTGAGAGACTCCACCGAACTGATACACGAATTCAGTAAAGTCACAGGATACAAAATCAGTGTATAGAAATCTGTTGCATTTCTATGATATCGGCTGTAGCAACTTTTAAATTAAATTAAATTACACTAATAATGAAGCAGCAGAAAGAGAAATTAAGGAATCAATCTCCTTTACAATTGTACCAAAAACAATAAGATACCTAGGAATAAACCTAACCAAAAAGGTGAAAGACCTGTACTCTGAAAACTATAGAACAATGATCAAAGAAACTGAAGATGACACAACAGTGTCTTTCCATGTTCATGGATTGGAAGAATAAATATTGTTAAAATGTCTCTACTGCCCAAAGCAATCTACACATTTAATGCAATCCCTATCAGACTACCAATAGCATTTTTCACAGAACTAGAATAAACAATCTTAAAATTTGTATGGAACCACAAAAGATCCTGAATAGCCAAAGCAACCTTGAAAAAGAAAAGCAAAGTTGGAGGCATCACAATTTCTGGACTTCAAGGTATATTACAAATCTGCAGTGATCAGAACAGTACAGTAGTGGCACAAAAGTAGACACATATCAACAGAACAGAATAGAAAACCCAGAAATGAACTCACAACTATATGGTCAATTAAAAAGCAGGAAAGAATATCCAGTGGGGAAAAGACAGTCTTCAACAAATGGTGTTGGGAAAACTGACAGCAAGATGCAAAAGAATGAAACTAGACCACTTTCTTACACCATACACAAAAATGAACTCAAAATGGATTAAAGACCTAAATGTGAGACCTGAAACCATAGAAATCTTAGAGGAGAGCATAGGCAGTAACTTCTTTGACATTGGCTGTAGCAACTTTTAAATTAAATTAAATTAAATTAATTTTTTAAAGTAGGTTCCATGCCCAATGTGGGGTTGAGCTCATGACCCCGAGATCAAGAGTCACATGCTTTATCACCTGAGCCAGCCAGGTGCCCTCACCCTCTGTCTTTTTTTCTAGATATGTCTTTTTTCTAGATATGTCTTTCTTTTAGATATGTCCCCTGAGGCAAGGGAAACGAAAGTAAAAATAAACTACTGGGACTATATCAGAATAAAAGCTTCTTCTGCGCAGCGAAAGAAACAATCAACAAAACTAAAAGGGCTGGGAGAAGGTATTTGCAAATGACATGTCTGATAAAGATTATCCAAAATATATAAAGAACTTATAAAACTCAACACCCCAAAAATGAATAATCCACTTAAAAAAATGGGCAGAAGACATGAATAGACATTTTTCCAAAGAAGATATCCAGATGGCCATCAGACACATGAAAAGATGCTCAATATCACTGATCATCAGGGAAATTCAAATCAAAATTACAATGAGATATCAACTCATACCTGTCAGAGATTATGTAATTTAAGTCCTTCATTTAGCACAGTGTTTTCGAAATAGTAGGGGCTCAATAAATAGTTTTGGTATATATACTTTCTTCTCTAAATGTTTATTATTCTATTTATTTTTCTCTGTAAATTCTTTCTATATATTCATTTACTCCTAGGGTATTATGTAAATTTTTATTTATCAAAGTAATGCCTATACATAGTTAAATAATCAAATATCACTAAAATATCTTTCCTAACTCTTATCTTTCGAGGAAGCCACTTTCACTATTTTAACTTGCATCTTCTGATAATTACCTTCATTGTTCTATATAATTACCTTATTCTGTTCTTGATTTATTAGCTTTAGAGAGTATTTACTGACTTCTCATTATGATCCTTGAGAATTTCTTTGTTACCCCAACTTCTCTCCTCCATTTTCCCAATAGAATTAGAATTTTCACTTAAACTAGTACTTAGTATTTACACTATTATGACTATAAATATTGTTCACTTCTGAGTCAAGTAATGTACAATGATTATCTGTCCTCATATGGGTGTTTGTTTTCTTGGAGTTAATGATTTCCTTTTCTTTCATTTGCTTAATTTTCTATGTACATACTGCTTATTTGTTCCTAATACATCAACAGATCTGTTGAATGCCTGGTAATCAACATTTCAAACTCACAGACCTGTGAGATAATCCATCAGTTGCATTTTTTCTCTCCTGGAGACCTCCCTTTAGAGTTCTAATGATTCTCTCTTGTCTGGCTGTCATGCTAGGACTTTCCTCAGCCATTTTAGTTTGGGGGTTGTTTTTGAGAGGATTTGTTAATGTGAATATAACCAGAATGAAGAAGCATTAATATTTTAGAGAGAATCCAAATTATTAATATATATTGCTTCTGTGTCCTGGATTCACCAGACAGTGAGGTCACATAAAATGAGGTTGCATTTGCTTTTGATGCCCAAATTATAGTGGCTCAAGCCTTCATAGTTTGAATGTAAATTCTGAGCACCACTAACTTTGCAAAGTGCCCTCTCAGTTTTTCTGGGGGTTGCTAAAAGGGGTGGTGCTCACATGTGCTCACTAACTAGTCTGTCTGCTAGTACCACAAGCCATTTACCGTGTTCTTCCCCTTTTGCTCTGACCCCCTGGCAATAAGTATTGCCCTGAGTGTTGTCTGATGCTGATAGAATCCCTCACTGCTAATGGTAGGTATCCCTCATAAGAGGTGTGTTGTATTTGCCAGGGGCATTTTCTCCTGATTTTACCATTTCTAAGAATACCAGGGGTACTAGGTTTGATGGGAGGTCATCAGGATGACTCTTTCCCCAATTCCACACCACTTCCCCACACCGCCTCCTCCATTACCCAAAGTCGCAGTCACCCACAGTCTCTTCCAGTTTCTCCTTTTTGTAATTTCTTCCCCATCACCCCTGTGTGCAAACCAATAATCATCAACATTCACAACCCACTGCTAATCACCCATTCTGGCAGGAATAACATAAAAACTAGAAGGCCCAGAAGCACAGCTCAACTATATAATTTATTACCAAACCAGAATGTTTAACATTTATATTCTAGTGAGTTTCTTAAGCCAGAGAAACAGCTTTAAAGTAAGATGAAGTCTCCATTCTGGAGATGGCGAACTTGCAGCTTTGAAATGATGGACCTCTTTTTCTTCTGGACAAGATTTTAAATACCTTAGAGTCTACTCTCAATCCAAGTACCACATTGCAAATCTTTAAATATGTCCACATTTTTAAAGAAATCCTCAAGGTTTTTTTTTTTCCTTTGAAAATTTGGAAACCTTCTATAGATATTTGTAAATAATATGAGGGAATTGAAATAGTATATATTTCAGACTTTTCACTGATTCAGACTGGACTTTGCCCTAAAAATGGTGTAACTTGCAGAGTTAGCATTTTCAAAAAGGACTTAAAAGTAGAAATGCCACCAACGAGGAGATCTGCGAGCAGATGACAACAAAGGAAAGACTCTCTCTTGTGAAGTTTAAAGTAATACTATGTTGGTCTTTTTGGACTAAATGAGAGAATTGTTTTCAAAATGAAGGCCATACCGTATTATTCCAGAAAAAAATTTCAGGTGGTATACAGACCCTTCATCATCTTCCCCTGCCTCCCTGTCAAGTGTCATTTCCTCCTTTAATGTTCCAATTTTCATTTAATGGATGAGGACAGTTGGGTTTATAATTTACCCAATTAGTAAGAGGTAGAGCCAAGATTTTAACGCAGGTCAATTTGACTTCAAAACTGGTATCTCTTTTCATGCTTACCATATTGCAACGTGTCATTTTGGGTGGCTACAGAAATGACCCTAAGGAACAGAGCTGACCTAAGGGAATTACCCAGCCATGTGGGTTATCTGGGATTTCCCTGGTGTATATAATGGTTGCCTGACAGTATACACTGTGTTGAGGGAGGCTCTGGAGAGGATCTCCTGTGCAAGCAAATCTAATCTTAAATCTCACTGTCCCTCTCCTTTCTTCTAATGCCTTTTCTTCCATCCCCTTTTTGGAGAGAGGCCATGTAACTGGTTGCTGATCCTATACTTTGCTCCCCATAAGCCATCCACATGGCAGACCCAATTTACCTTTCCTATGACATCTGTTAACAGCTTGAGTGCCAGAGGATCATGAACCAAGGAGTCTGTGTAAAAGGAACCAAGGTATTTCTTTGGGTTGGTTGGATTGTCCTGGGCACACAGATCTGGGCGCATGTTGAATCCATGGGAGATTCTTCCGACTGTAAAAGGGAAGGCACCACCTGCAAGTAAAACCCGTTAGTGAGGGCTAGTGTCAATTGAAAAGGATATTTTTCAATCCTCATGTTGTATGCAAAGAGGAGTTACTATAGTCCAGTATTTACAAAGGATTTATTGTGTCCCAAATGCTGGGAGATGACTCAGAACAAGTGATATGAACTCATCTATAAATTCATGTTTGAGGAATTTATCCTAAAGAAAGAATACAAGTGTGTAAAGATATGTGGTCAAGGTTTTCAGATGTAGTGTGCTTATAATAGCAAAATACAGAGGCAGCCTATCAACTGGGAAATATCTACATAATGATGGCATATCCATAAAATGTATTGCCATGCATGCAACCATCAAAAGTGGTGGTCCTGGTGGTATGTGTGTGTGCCCAAGAGTCAGAAACTCAATTACTTGCAGGGACCAAGCAGGAAATGTAAATGAATGAAATAGACCTATTTGTAAATAATAGAGAATGGTAGGGACTTCTGCAAATTGGAGAGTTTGTAGTCTGACTAGAGGAATTTAAAACAAAAACAAAACAAAATTAAGCAAAAACTACGCCAAGCAAACTAGCCTTGTCCACAAAAATGGAATTTGGTCCCCCACCATCATATACTTTATGACTAGAATGATGGCTGTAGGCATGTTATGGACTGAATTATGAGGTCCCTCCAAAATTCTTATGTTGAAGCCCTAATCCCCAATCTAACTATATTTGGAGACAGGGTAATTAAGGAGGTAATTTAAGGTTGAATGAGGTTATAAGATGGGACTTTAATCTGATAGGAAAAAGGAGAGGGACAGTGAGATTTAGGATTAGATTTGTTTGCACAGGAGGTCCTCCCCAGAGCCTCCTTCAACACAGAGTGTGTATTGCCAGAGAACCATTATATACACCAGGGAAATCCCAGATAATCCACATGGCTGGCTAATTCCCTTAGATCAGCTCCTGTTCCTTCAGGTCATTTCTGTACCCATCCAAAATGACACATCACATGCATAGTGAGAAAGTGGCCTTCTACAATCCAGGAAGACTGGTCTCACCAGAAACCAACCCTGCAGGCACTTTGATCTTGTACTACTAGCCTCCAGAACTGTGTAAAAATTAAGTTCTGTTGTTTAAGCCACTGAGTCTATGGTATTTTGTTATGGTAGACTGAGCTGAGTAATGCAGATAGGGCCTTACCTCCATGTGCAAAACACACTTTCAGTTTGGGAAATTTCTCAAACACTCCTCCCATGATCATGGAGCAGATGGCGGTGGTGGTCTCTGCTGGCATTCCTAAAAGAGGAAACAGTCACAGGGTGCAGGGCTTGTTATCTCAAGCAGGAAGAAGCTCAGTGATACTAGTGGTTGGGGGAATGGCAGCTTGCTGAGAAATGTGAGGTCCCTCTGTCCCAGCATGGCTTGGTTGTCTACAAGCCATTACTTTGGCAAACAGACCATCAGAAACGTCCTATTTGCCACTTGCAGGTGGAGTCATCTAGTGGACAACAGAATCAAGGAGCCAGAGGATCTACCTTTTGTCCCAATTCCTCACTTCAGTTTGGATGTGGTGGGGCAAGCAGAGTACAGTGAGTCTGGGTTGAACCCTAACTCTTCTAATTTTCAGCTTCCTGGCCTTCGACAAATTATTTAACGTCCCTAAGCCTGTGCTTCTTCACCTGTAAAATGGGGATTCTGTTGCCCATCTTGCAAGACTATTGTGGAGCCTTGAAAATGATGATGTTGGGAAAGGTCCTGGCCAGAACCTCACATTGGAGGTGCTCAACAAATATTAGTTGCTTCCCTGTGCCTCAGCTTCCTCATCTGTAGGATGCGTTTGTTCTTGCCACTTGGTACTCAGTAAATATTAACAAAAATTATAATTCCTGGGGTACCCGGGTTGCTCAGTTGTTAAGCGTCTGTCTTTGGCTCAGGTCATGATCCCAGGGTCCTGGGATCGAGCCCTGCATCGGGCTCCCTGCTTGGCGGGAAGCCTGCTTCTCCCTCTCCCACTCCCCCTGCTTGTGTTCCCTCTCTCACTGTCTCTCTCTGTCAAATAAATAAATAAAAATCTTTTAAAAAAATAATGATTCCTGCCAAATCTTTGTGCTTCTTAGAGATGAGGTCAAAAATAACTGGATTAAGATGAGTTGTTTCAAGTGCTTTGTGCCCCTAGAAGAAGCGGCTGTTTCATGCCTGATGCCTTCACCCCCACGGAGTTAGTCTGGGTTACATTTCCAGGCAACTGCTTTTCAGACTGTGATCAAGAAATCTTTGGGGGCTCCACAGGTAAGCCTGTACCTTCAGGGGAAGACTTACTCTCTGGCTGCCAAATGGGGCTTTACCAGATGCTCATCCTGCCCCAAGCCTGTCATTGCTCTATGGACAGAGATGCCTCTGGCTCCCCGGCCTTTTGGGAATTCTGGAAGCACGATAGATTCCTATCTATCTGGGAGTGGTTTGTGGGCAGAGCTTCCTGAAGGCAGGGGGATGGACAGCCTCCCTTCCTTTTGGTCCTGTGATTCTGCTCTCCATTAGTTACTTGGACCATAGTTACATAATCCATTTTCCATACAGGAGCCAAAGTGGGATATTTACAGTGTCCGTTGTATCATGTCCTTCCCTTGCTGGGAATCCTCCAATCTGCTAATGACCACTTTTGTGTCCAGAATAGAATTCTGAAATTAGCCTGTTTGTTTGTTTATGATCTGTTTGTCATCTCTTTCTTCTAACCAGAACATTGGCTTCAGGAGGGCAGAGGTTTTGTCCATGTCAATATCCTCAGTGCCTGGTACAGGGCCTGGTGTGCTGGAGAGGACCAATATATGTGTGTTGCACAAATGAATAATGAAATGGCTCTTTATGCACGTTTTCTTCTCTGTTTTTCATGTGGGAAATTATAAATAAGTTTGTGGGACTAATCAAAGTGTTGTCTGAATTAAGATTAGATTTTCTTTGGAGCTGGACAGCATTGGTGCCTCTTAGATTGTCTCTTCCTGCTAATTGTTGCTCAAAATTTGGTGGAGGATGGGTAGGAAGCTGCCTTACTAAATATGTTGGTCTCCAAAAGCAATCAGAGAGCCACAAAATGTCAGAGCAGAAAGATAAGGCAGGACCAGCTCTCCCATTTTACACATGAGAAATGGGCCTGAGAAGGTGAAGTGATTTGCCACAGGTTATACAGAGAACTAGAGACTAGCTGCAACTGAAATTCAGTTTTCTCACTTCCAATATACTGCTCCATTTAATTCTTCATGTTGGTTACTTTATCATTACTTGTACTAATTAGGCTGAGGAGAGAATGGGTAATGGCCTCTCTAAAGAAAATCCAAGGCTGTTCATCTGGGAAACCCACTATTAGCTGCACTTTTTACTTGTGGCCACAGAACTGCCGCCTGTCTCCATTTCTCGTTATCGGGGATAATAAGGAGATTGGATAGGCCAAGCAGAGGTCTCCTCTTCCCTTCTCCCTTACTTTCATGTGGAACCATGAATGAATGGTTGCAGGAACAAAGAGCAGCAGAAAGGAGCAGATAAGAGGAAAATTGAAAGCCTGGGTCATCTGCAATCTAGGGTGGTGGAAGTTGACCTTCTACTTGTAACTCCAGCGTTCTCGTAAGAGCTGATACTCCTTTTTTTTTTTTTTTAACGATTTTATTTATTTATTTGACTGAGAGAGAGCACAAGCAAGGGGAGTGGCAGGCAGAAAGGGAGAAGCAGTCTCCTCGCTGAGCAAAGAGCCTGACGTGGGGCTCGATCCCAGGACCCTGGGATCATGACCTGAGCTGAAGGCAGACACTTAACTGACTGAGCCACCCAGGCACCGAAGAGCTGATACTCTTGCTGGTTCTTTAAAAAAATCTATTAGGCAGGCATGATTGCTTATTTTTGGAGCCTTTTTGGGAGTCTGTATAGTGAGGTAGCTTTGGAGTCAGTCAGATTTGTGTAAATTCCATTTTCACTTATTAATTGTGTGACTTGGACAGCTTATCTAACCACTCAGAGACTCAGTTTCTTCCCTATAAAATGGTTATTATAATGCCAACCTCATAGAGTTTTGTGTGGATATGATTAAAATTAAGGTAATATATATAGCATTTATCCAAGAGCTCAGTAACTCACAATCCTGTTAATTATTCCTACTTTCTCTTTTTGACATAGTAGCGTTCCAGAAATAATTGGGAAAAAAACCAAAGGCTTGATCCTCTTTTCCAGATGCCAAGCTGACACAAACCTACAAGCCAGGGGAGCCAGTATTTGGCCATCCGTCCATCCATCTGCATGTCCCAGGGGTGCACAAATAGGGAACAGTTCAGCTTTTCGGCCACCTTTAAAGAAGCAATGAGAAAGAGAGTGTGTGTTATTTGGATGAGCCAGAAAATATAGGGTACTATTTTAGGGAAACTTTTTCTCTGGGTCTATATTGATCTGAATAAAGAAGCTAAAATATTTTTGAAGTTGTTTCTTAATCTATATAAAAGAGGCATTGAGAAATTCTGCTCCTGCTTAGAAAATAAGAAGACCATTTAGAATTAACAAGGGGGTTGGTGGATTCACCATGGAGGTTGATGAATTTAATACAAGTCACAGGAAACATCCATCATTCACATGTTTTAGCTGACAGCAAAATGCTCAAGGACTGATCCCATACCTCAAATGCAAGGGAAGTTTCCCCTGCCGGTTGCTACTTGAGTCATTCTTTCAGGAAGATTGTTAGAGTCAGGGCTAGAGTGTTCCCTTGCTTCCCCCACTTGGAAACCTGAGGATGTGAAAGTGAACAAGTGATGGCTGGGGCCAGGGGCTCGTGACTGGACTGGAGCAGGCTGGCCTGACCCAAGCCATCGGCCACACAGAGCCCAACACCAACTAGGAATTTCTGGGGGTCTACAGGTACTCACAAAGCCTCAGGAGCCCATCTGAGTCCCTGGACAGTCTGTTGTGAATGAGATGACTTCAGAAAGTCAAGAGCTCTCAGTGCCTCAGCCAGGCAGGTACTGAGACGAATGTCATGGGCAAACTTATTCAGGGCCTTCTGGGAAATGGAAATCCTATCTGGATGGAATGACTTTTATTCAACAAAATGTTTAATTTAAAAAAGTTCCCTCAACGGGCATTGAGTATGAGTGCTTAACAAGGTTCAAAACAGATTTCTTTAGCTCATTTCTTTTCCAAATATATTGAGGGGCTGGAATGATTCATCCTACCTTTACATATAAATATGTGGGCTAAATAGGCTGGTGCAATGTGAGTTCTGGACGTAAGCATTTTAATTTTTTTTTTAATTAATTTTTTTAAGAAGAGAGAGAGCTTGCACTAGCGGGGGGTGGGGAGGGTAGGGGGAGGGGTAGAAGGAGAGAGAGAATCCTAAGCAGGCTCCATGCCCAGCACTGAGCCCAATGCAGGATTTGATCTCACGACCCTGAGATCATGACCTGAGCTGAAATCAAGACCCTGACACTTAACTGACTGAGGCACCCAGGCGCCCCTGGACATAAGCATTTTTAAAATGGAGATGCAATTCTTGGACAACAGGGGTTCTGGAAGTGGCAGACAAAGGGTAGATTGAAGAATGGACTTCTAATTTCCTCAGGTTCTGGGGGCAGAAGGGAGAGGAGCTAATTAGTTTCTGATACTGGATGCAGGCTGGGTCAACTTCTTGGGATGGGCTGAGCTTGACAAAAGCCCCAAATCATGGTATCTCAGTGGGATTTGACTCCTTATTAGGATAAAACTTTATTCTCTGCACCTCTGATGGTGCAGAGATCCTTTCTGTATGCGAGGCATTGTAGAGAACACAAAAAGAAGTCACTTAAACTCTCAAAATCACGATAACTCACATTAACTGAGAACTTACCATATGCCAAAGCTGTTACAAGAATTTTACAACTGCTAACTAGTTTAATCCTTTATAAGATGAGCACTTTTTAAAATTGAAGGATAGTTGACACACAATATTACATTACTTTCAGGTGTACAACATGGTGATTTGACAGCTCTGTACCTTACACTGTGCTCACACAAGGGTAACTATCATCCGTCACCATACAACACGATTATAATACTCATTTTATTCCCTATGCCGGACCTTTCATCCTCGTGCCTTATGTATTCCATAACCGGAAGCCAAGTATCTCCCACTCCGCTTTACCCATTTTGCCCATCCCCCACCCCCTTCCTCCTGGCAGCCACTGGTTTGTTCTCTGTGTTTATTGGGTCTATTACTGTTTTTGTCTGTTTATTTTTCTTTTAGATTCCACATATAAGTGAAATCATGTGGTATTTATTTGTCTATCTCTGACTTATTTCACTTAGCGTAATACCTTCTGAGATGAGCATTTTTATTACCCTTATTTTACAGAGAAAGAAACTAAGGCAGAGGCTAGGTAACTTACTCCGGTCTTATGGCTGATACATGGTAGAGGCAGGCTGTCTGCCTCATACTTGTAATGAGGTCATTTTCGTGCCTGAAAACTGACCTGAGCATGTAGGGTTGGGTTCACTCACTAACAAGGGAGGTCTAGGAGGTAAGGAGATGGCTAGACACTTTGGAACTCCAGACTCCCCTTGAAATGACAAAGCCAACTTGGTTCATGGCAACTCCTGTCGTTTGTTTTAGCCATGTTACTGATGCAAGATAGAGACTAGTGAGGCTTCCAAGTCGTGCTAACCAAACGAATGTGCTGCCAGCCCCTGGATATTACAAATCGGCTGGGGCCAGGATGCCCTCCTGACTTCCCTGAGAGACTAGTGCCCCCAAGCAGCCTATTTAGAGTGAGTGGTGGGTTGAGCTCGTCACACAAACGAAAATACCCATTTGGACCGCAACTGACTGCTCTTACTTTTTGAGCTCCTTAGTAATTCATAAACCCAATCCTGGCAAAGAGTAAAATGACCTGCTGCTGAAGACTTGCTCACACTGCGCTGAAACAACTTGGACGCACAAGTAATAAATCCTCTTTCAAAGCCCATTAAAGTTTCTAGAAAACATTCACTGCATCAGCTCAGCTTATTGCAGCCAATAAGCTTCAGGGAATTCAGTATTTAGAGGAACATTAAGTCTTTCAGGTTATTGGGGGGCAGTTTAACAGGTAGCTCCCCAATTGGTGGGCAGTGTCCATAGATACAAACATGGAAACATTTGTGCATGTAGGCAGAGCTCAATAAACATGAAAGGAATAAATGATCAGTGGTTTTAGTGCTGGGGAGCACACCAACATCTATTTTTTTTTTATTATTTTTAAAGATTTTATTTAATTATTTGTCAGAGAGAGAGAGAGCACACGAAGGGAGAGAGGCAGGCAGAGGGAGAAGCAGTCTCCCCACTGAGCAGGGAGCCAGATGCTGGACTCGATCCCGGGATCATGACCTGAAGGCAGACGCTTAACTGACTGAGCTGCCCAGGCGTCCCCACCAACATCTATTTAATCCACTATTGAAGATTTTGCACTTACAATGAAAATAATAGAAAACAATACTGTTATAACTCTAGGAGGAAAGTAAGAAATAAACAAATGCAATTGAGTATAGAATATGCATCTTGATTCCTGATATGAAGAAAAGCAGGCTTAGTTGCAGAAAGAACAGAAGGGCAGAGGAAGTCCCATGGAGAGGACCATGGGACTGTGGACACTTCAGTTGGATTCTTGAGAGATGAAAATAGCACTGAATCCCTGAAAATATACTTTATAATGCAGTATTTCTTTTTTTTTTTTTAAAGATTTTATTTATTTATTTGAGAGAGAGAGAATGAGAGAGAGCACATGAGAGGGGGGAGGGTCAGAGGGAGA